CCCCCCCCCTTTCATCATGCCCTGCTTTAAGCTATATTCTCCTTTTCCTCTATTCATTGTATGTTCTTTATAATTCTATTGAATCCCACAGCAGCCCTAACAGTGACATGTATAAGCTATGCAATGCCTGAGAATGTTTTGGATCTGGGTGGGTTTGGTGTTAGGCCGGGGTGCAGGCAGGAACAAACATGGATGACCCACTTGCGGCTCAAAGGGACAAACGGGTAGAGATGGCAATTTCGGCACCCAGGATCGATCCATTCCGAAGACGTCCGAAACTTCTGGTGTCGATACGGAGTTTACGAAATGTTTCGAAACATCAGTCACGTGACCGCCGTGTCATTGTTCACAGCAAGAGAAAAAAAACCCGGCAAAAATCGGGGCTTGTTGGTTTGAGCGAGTAGTTTGGCGATCATAATTATTTGAAATCCAGTTGTATTAGTGAAACAGGTTAGCAGTTAATGTGATTTAGGCATAAATATAGTGAGGGACATATAGTAGGTGTAATATCAAGGTTTGGCTTAGATTCAGTTAAAAACATAAATAAAAAAGCTAGAGTACGCATAGACACATAGATTACATATACATATATAACATTGCTAATGTAACCCGCCACTGCCGGTAATGCCCGGTTTTGTGCACCCGCTGGCTGCTGGAATCCCTCTACACCTCCCTGGTACTCTGCATTGTGTTTCTGATGTGTGATGGGGAGTGTTGCAGAGGGCAAGAAGCATCGGACGCAAGGTTCTGGATTGTGGCTGAGACTCAAAGCGGCACTTTATTTACTCACAGGCATTAGCGGTCCCCCTTATGTCACAACAGGGGTCTGGCTGGCTCTGGCACCTTACGGGATAGTGCAAAATGAACATTATAAATAACAAAACATTGTGCCGGAAATCAAAACTGAATAGAGAGATAACACACAAAATAATATAACTCCAAACAAAGATATTCTGGAGACTACCTCAAACAACTTTCCCCAAAATAAATAATTTAAATAAAAGTACATTCCCACGTGACTGATAAGATAAACACAGAAAACAAATACTTTTCCCCACATTCAGGCGCGGAGGCAGGGGGTGGCCGGGGGGGGCCGTGGCCACCCCCCGCCGAACCCCGGCCACCCTATTGGCCCCCCCTGGTCTGACCACAGCCATCCATGCAACCACCCACGCGACGCAGAACCTTTTTTGTACTGCCACAGCAATGCCGGACACTTTTGTGTGCGCACATCCTGGTACCGCCAGTGGAGTGGAGTTCTTT